GTAAGTCTGGTACGTTTATTTGTAATCATACTGTTTTACTCAAGCCCACACTCTCAGCAACATTAACGAGGAAAGATCTTGAGATGTACAAAATAGATGTTTCAGTTTGTTTTCATTCGCATGTATAACCACTAGTGCTGTACAAAACAGATATGAGTAGGAATATCGAGTGACTGTTTTTCGTTGTTTTCTTTTCGGAAGCTGTATATGCTACGAAAAATCATCGAACGTAGCGTGTATACAGCTTCCGAAAAGAAAACAACGAAAAAACAGTTACTCGATACTCTCTAAACAAAATAGGCAGTTTAAAAAATTCAAACGGTTTTTTATTCCTGTTTCTAAACCCAAAAGGGTATAGTAGCACATTTGAGAAACGATTTTGTATCGTTACTAAACCGGTTTGTTTTTTTAAAATACTTTTTGGAAAAGTGTTTTAAGAAAATAAAGAGTTTTTTGTCAATGTCACAAAACCCTAAAGATATTCTATTTTCGTTACTAAAGCAAAAGGGTTGGTATATAAACCCTTTTACTATTTTAAAAAACCAAAAGGGTTTTTCATTATTGCTGCTAAATCCCAAAGGTTTTTCACTTCAACTCCTGAACCATTTTGGTCAAGAACTAAATAATGTATCGTAAATAGTATGTATACTTTTGGGGTTTTGTGACATTAATAAAAAAACCTTTATTTTCTTAAAATACCTTTCAAAAAGTATTTCAAAAAAACCAAAACGGTTCAATAACGATACTATGTCCTTTTGGGTTTAGAAGCAACAATAAAAGGCCGTTCGGGTTTTGAAAACTACCCATTTATTTAGCGAGCACATAAACTGGTGATATACCTCAATCATGGTTCATGACTGTTCATAACAGTCATTCAAAATATCACATTAGTACAAAAACAAAAATTCAAAATTTGATGATAAAAACAAATCATTGAAAACAAATAGCAAGCTAGAACATAGTAGTAAAAATCGACGAATCAAAAATGAAAGAAAGATTTTTAATGAAAAATCATCATCACAAATGGAAAATAATGACGAACAAATATCAAATCTTCGAGAATTATTCAGTTATTTTGATATAGATGATATTTGTATATGAAAAACATTTAATGTTCAACTGATTGCGTAATTTGGTTTATTGTGTTTATAGGCAGCAAAGGTATATCTCTGCAAGAGTTAACAAAAGTCGTTCGTAGTATTGATCCTAGAATTCAGACAGCTGAAATATATGGAATGTTAAAACAAGTGGATTTAGATCAAACAGGTTTTAAATATTGAGAGTTTTAATTGGTCGGTACGAAGTAGATATATCTAGAATAAAAATACGAAAGCAAAGTATCTACCTGTTACTCAAAAAGGTTTTAAATAGATAATCTATGTATCTGAAATTGTTAAGATGATGAATATCTTTCAGGTTATATTCAGTATGATGAATTCATAGCTCTGATTAAATGGAAACAATTAATTAATCGCACTTCGGCATCATCACTAAAAAAATTATTTGAAAATTATGACGTAAACAAAGATAATTCGATTGATAAAAATGATGTATTGGATGTTATGGCTTCATTGAATTTGAATGTGTCAGTAGAAGAAATTGATTTAATGTTAACAAGTGCAGCGGAGAAGAGTGATGGTAGATTAACATTTATCGATTTCACATATTTAGCTAATAATTGTTTACCACAATCCACATCTGAACAGAAAGTCAAAACGATTCTAGTTAAAAAACCTATTCTTCAATCGATAAGGCCAAAAAAATCTCTCACCCTTTCTTAAAACGTTTCGAAGCAATTCTGTTAAGAAATCCCTCTAGAGTTTGCATGAAACACCTGAAGAATCTACTGTGAAAAACTGAAGCGTTCGAACCTCTTCAACTCTATTTACTGTGTTTTGAGTTGCTATCTTTTTCTTCTTTAATTTTTTTACGTTAGATAGTAATTTAATATTTTATCATTCTCCAATTAGAAACCAGCAGTCAAGCTGACACTTTAGCAGGATTTCCGAACTTTTGCCAGAAATTCCAAAAAATGTTTTTATGGAGAGGACAGCATCCTCCTGCCTCCCCGGATCGGGAACCCTGCGCTTTATTAATCACTCACTTGCAAAATTGGTATCTTATATAGCACGTAAGGTGACAGAAATCCTTAGCAACTCTCTATGACATATCAGGAAAAATGAGAATCCTTATAAAGGGCTTTCCATTTTTCCACACAAAAAAGTTCAATATATTGCAGTTTTAACTATAATTTAAAAAATTTAAACACATAAGCTGATTTGTGAGAAATGTTCAAAGCGCACCATTGACGTCTACCTTCATATATGAATGTTTTCTCTAAAAACACTTTGCTTCTAATTTGTGTCGAAATATTTCGTCTAGAATTACTAAGCATATTGTATCTATTCTGATTATGGGTTCAGTCCTGATTCGTCGACAAATTAAAGCCAATTAAGAGATTTTACTGTTTCGTCGACGCAACTGTTTTTTCGTTTCGTCGACACTTTAAACTTCCTATTTGGTCGACAAAATTATTCCTGTTTTGTCGACAATTTTTTTATCGACTATAAAGTATTGAAACGAGTTAAAATTAATAAATAATACAATAAAATGTACTCAGTTATCGAAACACAGAAAGGAAAACTATGTTTACTATTTAATAGCTATCGGTATTTAAAAGATAGAACGCATAATAATAATGTCTACTGGCGTTGTGAGAATCGATCCAATTGCTCTGGTCGTGCTACACAAGGCGACAGTAGTGCTCCAATTCTTACAGCACCACACAATCACGAACCACATGAAAAATGTAATGCTTGTGAAAAATTTCGTACAAAACTGAAACGTGCCACAGTTTTTGGAAATTAAAAACTCGTTGTATCATACAAAAAATGAAATAAAAATGAAATATTCCTGTCTCCCAAAATTAATTGATGATGTAAAGATTGAAGGTATGTTATATTATTGTCTCATTAAAAAATTTATGTAATCAGAAATGCACGGATTTTGGATTTAATGGAACGTTATAAAAAAGGTACATTAACTACGGATGATTATCTATCAAAAATTAGTAAAACAATTGGTAAAAACATAAGAAAATACCAATAACAGATGAACCAACAATAGCTCTGTAAACTTCTCTGAACTATACTACTATTTTTCTACTCATGTGTATGCATAAGGTTAATTATATAAGAAAAAGTGTCGACAATTAACGGCCTGTCGATGAATCAGGAATACACCTGATTGTGGGCAGGATATAACTAAATCAAGGCGCTTCACCATGCATAATTTTATGAAATGAACACATACGATGAACATACAAAAATTGTGGAAAAGATAGCCGTGAAAGATCGTGAAAAAATTTTCCTACGATGTTCCTCTCATAGCATCAGTCATAGCTAGTCTTTTTTGGCATTGTAATTGAGTTAGACGAAGAATATTTGTGGTAGTTGTTCCGCCGTAGATCACAATACCATAATTGAGATCACTAAGAATAAAAGTGTGATAAACAGAATCAAGAGTTTGCTTGGAAACACATCTACTCAGAGACTTCAATGAGCCAATTACTTGCGATAGTTTAGCACATAAACCATCAATGTGTGATGTTCAATCTAATGTAGCAGTAAACGTGATACCTAACTGGACCTGTTTCCGAACATATTCCAATGGCACGATTAACCGACGTTTGAGCGCCGACACTTGAGCGCCCCGACATTTGAGCGACCGACATCTGAGCGACCGACACTTGAGCGATCCCGACATTTGAGCGACCGACATTTGAGCGACCGATAGTTGAGCGACCCCGACACTTGAGCAACCGACATTTGAGCGACCCCGACATTTGACCGACCGACAGTTGAGCGACCCCGACACTTGAGCGACCGACATTTGAGTAATAACGACCGTTCAGCACCAAGTGCTCACTCTCACCCTCACTCACCCACACCCACCCTTACCCTACACAGCCTCACCCTCAGATCTCCAAATAATTCAGTTCATAATCGGACGACAAAAAAATTGTTCTGATCATCGTTATCGAAGTGAATAATCATTCGACGGGGTCGCTCAAGTGTCGGTCGCTCAAATGTCGGCGCTCAAATGTCGGCGCTCAAATGTCGAGCGCTCAAACGTCGGTTGACGCAATGGCACGTTACCGAGAATTGAGGGAGATAGAGGATTCAAATTTTTTTCACAAGAAAACAACATGGTGACACTTTTTGATGTTTAAAAATAGCAATCACCTCTTCGACCACTGATTGTTCTTATCGGATCCGTATTCGTTGTTTTAATAGCCTTACCCAAACCACTTGCCTCAAAGTACAGCGAAAACATCATCCGCAAACAGCTTGAGCTTCATAACGGATGATAGACTAAGATTGAGTTTTATTTTGATCCATTCACAGTTTACAAATGATAAAAATATTGAGTCAATGTAGAAATACTTTTTGTCGAACTGAACAGATTGAAAATGCTATAGTGCGTTTCTTTCACGTCTTTAGTAGCGCTATACAGTAAACTTCTTTTTGATTCTAAAAATAGTATTGATATAGCACTCTTCTCTCTCGACTGACCGAGTAAGTGTAATTATTAGCAGAAAGATTCTTACTGATATGATGCGCCTCCGAAGAAGAATACAAGTTAAATAGAAATGGTTCTAAGTACATAGCGACGCATGTGTCAGATTGACGAATCAAACGAGCGTGGAAGCATGCGTGTAGTTTTCATGGCAGCTTGACTAGTTCAAGTATAGTATAGAGTTAACGGTGTTTTCCAACCTAAGAAACAAACATAATGGTAAATTCTTACTTCTCTAGAAGGTTTCTAAGGAATAGTAGCATGGGGACGCAAACAGAATCCAATCATTAGGAGAGAGTACAAAAATTCTTATATCGGAGGTTGTATGAAATCGAGAAAAAAAATGTTATGACCTATATGAAAAAACTAATTTCTTAATGAGCGTATGCTGAAAAATAAGAAATGTTTGTTATTTAGTTCTCCCACTATTTGCGCCTCTGAATACATATTTATCGGAATTGGAACCTGTAGCTCTTTCTCTAAAATCTGGTAGGAAGCCATACGCTTTATGTCTTATCGTTTGCAATTATGTTCGTTTATAGAACAGATGACAATCCCTTTTAGATATATTATTGAGCTGCTGTAATGGCAGAAGTACACGTCATCGGCTCAATATCGGGAGGTAGCGGGTTTCCAGATGAAAGTTTATTTTGCAAATGGAAGATACATGCAGGCAGTGCATGGCGTGTACTTCAGGGAGAGCAAGAAGGGCAGACTCAAGTTGATTCACCCTCTCATGAACCAGTAGCTTATTGGTGTCATCCGATCGATATCCATTTTGCCACAAAAGGTCTTCAAGGTACGGTAACTGTGTCCAGCAGAAGTTGAAGCTTATATAAAAATCAAAAAAAACTCTTCTTTTTATAGGTTGGCCAAAATTTCATGTACATCTGTTTCATGGAAAGATATATGCATGATCTTCTGTTTTTATTTTTCTTACTTTAGTTACAAGTATGGCACCAAGATTTGTATGGTCGTACTGAATTGTACAGTTATGGCTTTTGTCATATCCCAGTATCACCTGGTTATCATGAATTAGACGTTGTTACATGGCGTCCAAAAGGTAGTCTTGCAGAAGAATTAAAAACACAATTTATTGGCGGAAGTTCACAGTTAAAGGTATATGTGTTTCTTTTATTAAAATCCCGACATTAAAGTATATACATTTATGAAAGGAAAGCGTGAAGTGCATCAATAGCTGATTTATTATTCAATCAAAAAGCTTTGCAAAATATACTGGTTTGACATTGTATAAGAAAATTTTACCATGCGCATATTTTTTTTAATTTTAGAATCCTGATCTTGTGTCATCTAGTTCTGAATTATACAAATTAAGAACGGTGTCCATGGGAAAAGTACATTTACATCTACATGTTATTACAAGAAATTTCGATAAATATGGGGTAGAGTTTTGAGATACATCATTTTATGTTTTTTCAATACCTCATTTTACACAGCTCAACGTTGACCATACCTTAGTGAATGTACTTGCGAGCCGGTACCCATTTACTTGTTATGCTAGTACATTCAGTAGAGTATTGTTCAGTTTTTTCTTCTAATATTTTTCCATCAGAAAATATCTTTGATTTGTTTCTCATGAGAATTGTTTTTTCGATCTTTTTGCTTCCTGATTCAAGAAATTCGCGTCGTATGTACCAAATATCAAGAAGCAATTAATGTTTGGGACAAGAGGCGTAAGATTTTTGAAAGAATTGATGGTTTTTTCGGAAATATTATGATCAATCATTTAATTACCGTGCTTATAAGAAGTAGTTTTTCTTATTAAAGTTGTTTTTATGTAATTTTTATCACTGTTTTTTTTCATGTATAAAACGTATGTGTATTTGTGTGTGTGCATATAGACATAAAATCTCTTTGATTTATATTGTGAATAACAGTTTTCCGTCCATTTTAATATTGCTGCTATTTTTCTGGTTTCTTTTTCAGATAGTTGACTATTAATATACTCTGCCTTTAAAATAATAAAATGAACTGAATGACTATTTTTTGCTGTTGAAAATCAAATAGATGAACATGGGAGAGATCGATTTAAGGGTTCACATCTGTGTTCAAATTTAGAGAAAAAAACTTTCTGTGTCATATTTTTTAAACTTTCTTATTAACAGTCCGCCTGTATTTTAGCATACAAGAAGTTGACAATAGTTTGTTGTACGATAATTTTTCTATTAGAAACAGTGTTTGAAAGATTAGGTGTCTTTCGATTGAATAATTGTGATATAATGCTAAATCTGATAAATGTTTTTAACACAAATAAAATGGAAGATATCGTTGCGTAATTTAATTTTTAAATACTTTTTTTTGTAGAAAATTAAAACTATTTGTTGAATAATTTTGAACATGCTGTCAAGTGATACATTTGTGGTAATTTCAATTTGCTCTTCTCCGAAACGCCATCATATTGTTTACTTTTTCTTTCAGTCATTTGCCAGCAATAGTTTCCAATACAAAAATTTCAATCAACCAGACGATTATAGCCCATTTAATGCTAACAGTCAAGATGTTATTAATGCAACAGCAACAATATTTCAGCAACAATCGCCCGGATCTCGACGTTTGTCATCCAAGTCTCAAAAACGAAGATCAACTGTGCCAGCTGTGAACAATGGAAATACACCAGTAACAGTTTTGTGTGATATTTGTTCAATTCCTATCACATCATTGATCGTGTTTGAAAGCCACGTGAAAGGAAAACAACATCAAAGAAAATTACAAACAATATTAAGAGTAAATTAAAGCTGTTCATTAGAAATCGATGTGAATGAGGAATATGTAGAATAAACATCTCATCTGCAAGGACCTGCATTAAAGGAAAATTGTTCAACTTATTTTTCTCTTATTAAGCGACAAGAAGCAAGCATAGGGAGAAACTTTTTATATTTATTGTTTATTGTTTATTTAGAATAATCCAACATTCAAGCCACTATCGTATAATGATTTGTGTCAACCAATACCTCAAAAGCCTCTGAATAATCCCGTTGTTTTTGAACAAAATCCCGTACCACAAGCCTCACTACCTCAAATACCGACTGCACCTTCTATTCCGACGTCCACCTCTTCTTTAGTCATTCAAAAACAAATGCCAATCACAACATCTGTTGACAAGGTTGCATTTAACAATACCACACTGAAGCCCATCGCACCACAATCTAAAATTCCACCGCTGATTCCATCAAAAACACTACTTTGTAATATTTGTAATATTTCGTGCAATTCAGATGAGATGCTAAATGCTCATATTCAAGGAAAAAAACATCAATTAAAAGCAAAAATGAATGTGGTAAATAATTGTTTTTTTATCAGTTGTAACTCGAAATAACTGTTATTTTTTTGTATTACCATCAGTTAAATAATCTACCTATAACTAGAAGTTGTGAAACAGTTTCTGCTGGCGAAGTTGAAACAAAATTTCCGTGTGTGATATGTGGTTTAGAGTTATCAACTATCGAACAATTAAGAAGTCATGAAAATAGCAAAAAACATAAAGCAAAGATGAAAGAAGCAGGTATTAAATTCATGTTGTGTAAATGCTTATTGAAGACAGATTTTTCTCTTTTATTTTTAAGCACTTTGCGCTGAACAAATATCTGGATTATCAATCGATTATGACAAATATAAACTATCTGATGCACAAAAGAAAATCATAGCGGAAAAAGATAACAATTGTTTTGATTATCATTGTCAAGTCTGTAATAAGATGATGACGGGAAGGTTACAATTAGTATTGGTAAGTTGAACATTACCGAGAACAATAAGATATCTTAATGGTCTCTTATTTCTAACTTTTACAGCATATAAAGAGTCAAGGTCATGCAAGAAAAGCAAACGTTATGCCAAACACAAGATGGGGACAACAACGTGGATCGAGACCAGTACGCTTTGTTTTAGTGTGAATGATTTCCTTACTTGCATTTTTTTAATTAGATATAGTAGTCTATGTTTATCGTGATTAATCTACTATTTTTCCTTCGTCCAATCGTTTGATGCATGAGGAAGTTGATCAAGCAAATATACTAGAATTTCAAATTCTTCTCTTGATAGAAAAGTTAATAAAATTTAACTATACTATTATACTGAATTCATTTTTATGAAAGATGTTGAAAGAGTCTACAAGCAGGCAATGATTGTTTTGATCATTTTTAAGGAGTAATCATATTTAAATTAGATAAAGTACTGGTGCTACAGAAAATTTTATGAAAGTGTTCAAGTTTTTGCAAGTCGTCTAATTTTCTAGGGTGCGAAATTTTAGTATTCTGAATTTCTGGCGGATCTAGTATGTAATCAGCATTATAATTCTTGGTATCAGTCGTTATACACTATCGAGAGACGTGTCAATGAATTGTCTCAAATGGATGTAAATTAATTTTTTTGCAAAAATTCGTTTTATTTTTCAGCTATTCCGAGGAAGTCGTGGTGTTGGAAATTTTCGTGGTAGCAATGTTCGAGGTCAAGTTCATAAAAATCCTGGTCTACGGGGTCGAGGCAGTAGAGGAAATATACGTGGTCGTGCACGTATGGATACCAATTCCAGACGTTCTGATTTTGGAAGAAGTAATGCGTTATCAGCAGACCAACAAACAAACGTGGTTTTTAGATATGACAAAGATCCAAACTACAATCAAAATCCTATGGTTCTCAATGAGACCAAACCATTTGTATTTGGTGGTTTCGATGAAAATACAGATGTAACACAGACGCATATAAATCAATCATTAGACCAATTAGCAAAAGTAGCAAATGAGCAACAAAATCTTAAACCGAAACGACAAGGACAAAATAATAATATGAAACGATTTAATAACAATAATACGCCCAGTGAACAAGGGAATGCAAATAAACGTTTAAAATCATATGGACCGGTTTACAGTAATACAGTGAATTATACCCAAGTACAAAAACAACAAATGAATAGATATAATAACGGTGACCAACAACAATATCAACATCCTTTTTGTCAAACAGATGGTCCATCAACACTTCCTACTTATTCAACAAGTCAACATGATCAATCTTATCATCATCAAAATTATCCTTTGCCTCCATCTCCTACTAATAGTAACACTAATTATTCTTTTAATAATTACTATTCAACAAATGATCAAACAGCGGTAAAATGTGAATCAGACTATTCAAGCTATATGACAAATCCTAATAATAGTAAGTTAAACTTTAAGTATGAAGACTAATTTTTTTCGAGTGAGGAACAGAACTTTTATGGTTTAAAATACTAAATCTATCATTTATTTAGACCGATTGTCTCAGCAACCATTGGTACCACCTTCATGGATCTCACGTTCTGCACCTTCGAGCCTTCCGCCATGGCATTCGTCTACTGCAGATCCACCATCACCAAAAAACTACGGTATTACTGGAAACTATCATCAATTTGGACCCTATTGACATAAAAATTGTATTTTCTCAATTTTGTCTAATTTGTTATTCACATCATCCCAACATTAAAATATACTGCAATATTTATTATGTAACTGATATGATAATTTCTGTTTGTTCCTATTTGCTTCTCTGGAAATATGTATAGTCTTTTCACCGTTAAATTTATCGTTTTACTCCCTTGAAAGACTCAATAGTAATTTGTATTTTTTGACTAGAAAAATAAAACGATTTTTTTTCGTTCTTTATTTGCCTACTTCAGTAGAAAAACTCACTGGTATGAACGTATGGAGATTAGAACTGGTCGAATTCGTACCGTTTCATTTTGAGGTTTTCTTCTAAAATTAAGTGATATTACTTTTTGTGTTTAGATTTTATTATTGATTTCTCGATTTATTTGCTCATTTGTTCTTTTGTACCAAATGGAATGTTAGTTTTTCTTGTTTTATTCCATATGTAACAAAGAAAATGTAGTCGATAAACACATAAAATTTTGCTCTCTCATTGTATTTCTCGTTGCATTTTTCGTGTTCATCTTAAACAATGGAATAAACTATTTAAAATATAAACTAAATATATAAAGAAAAGTGTTTAAAGATATGAAGACACTGGAGTGATACTACAGACCATAATCTTATAACCATCAGCAAACGTTATAGTGCTCCATAACAAAAAAAAACTAATTTCAAAGTAAAAGACAAAAGATTTAGACAATTAAAAAAGTTCGAGAAGTTGAATCTTCATAAGAGAGTCGTCAATTTAGTTTTTATTCTAAATGATTGTCCTTCTATACAAAAGACGAGTTACCTTTTGCTACGTTTATTTATTCATTCTACTTTTGTTAAATAGATACAGACACTTATATATATTCATTATCTATTTACATTTGGTGGTCATTGGTAGAAGATACAAATGAATAAATATAAAATTTAGTATCTCGAATTAGACTCGATAAAAAACTTTGAACAGATTCTTTTTATAGTCTATTCCAACATTTGAGAAAATGTTGATTTTTTTATATCTTATTCGCTGAAGGTTGGCGTTATAAACATTGTTTCAGATCATGCGTTCAATAATTTATATAGCTGCAATTTTATTTTTATACAAACATACAAAAGCGTTGGACAATGGTGTAGCATTAACACCTCCAATGGGGTTCGTTGTATCATTCACTTTAAAATACGCTACAATTTATATTTTTTATAATTTGCAGATGGCTAACATGGCAACGTTTCCGATGTAATATCGACTGTCAGCAAGATCCAAATACATGTATAAGGTAGATAAGTTTATTTTTAATCACAACCAGAATTAGATTCGTCTAATTAGGCGCTCGAACTAGAGATTTTTCATATTGAGTCCAACTATCTGAAAGACGTTATCCATACAAATATGATGTTGCTTAGTCAAATTTTCTGCTTCTTCGTTCTTGTCACGATTCATCATTGTGAGTTATGCGTTCACACGTGTAAATTGAGTTATTCATGCGTTTTTCTACTCAATTACAACATTGAGCATACACATGCATCTACATGTTCTGTAGAAGCATTAAAATCTTTTGTAATCGAAATTTTTGATTAATCCTCCATCCTCTAGTACAAGATTATTGCTGACAATTTATCCTTGAAGTCCCTTCTCCGATTTTGGGTCAAAAATCACTTCAGTTGATTGCCAGAATACGCGATCATGGTGTTTTCTACTCTGACACAGAACTGAAATCAGAAAGATCCAGTTTCTCAAAACAGAAATTTATAACAACCATGCATTCACCCAGCAACCATCTTATTCACCCAAGATATACCTAAAAAAACGGGATTCGAGGTGCATCTTCACCAGACCTACCCAGCTCTAATCACAATATCTGACAACTATTGTCGGAATAAAAAAAGAATGAACTCGGATGTATCTTGAATAACGTTTGACAGAAAAGTGGTAAAGGCTTGCGGTCTTCACCAATTGGAAGTCAAGACCTGAGCGCATCTTCTCACCACAAACGTCGTTTTGAAAATCTTCTTTCAAAGTAGGTTTTCTAGATCACGTGGCAATATTTGTTTTTAGGAAAGGATTCCAAAATCTGATGAAAACTAGGTTTTACAAAACCTGGGGCGTCCATGTTGTTGTGACCTGATATGGAAAAATTTACAATTCACTCAAAAAGCATCAGGACGAGGTCAAAACTTCAGAACGTGGAGTATTTATGCTATTCTATATTCGCACTTGAGAGAAATCTAGAAAATCAAGTTTGCAAAACTCGATGATTTTACAAAAGGACTTCTGAAAAACTTTTGAGCAAAAATATGATTTTCGGCTTTTTTGATGATATAATGACGTTACCAAACAAATTTAGCCATTTTTTAGCAAATTTTATAATATTAGATGAAAACAAACTGGAAATCTCAGTTTTCGCCGGATTTTTGGATCCTTTCCTAAAAACAAACATTGGCACGAAATCTAGCGTGATCGATTACGTATGTTCCATGCGATCTCAAAGCCACCTCAAGTCACCGGATGCCAGTCCTGACACTCGAATAAAGTCTAATATCATCGAACCCTCAAAAACCAGGGTCTCGCTTAACTCCCATTTTGAAGAGGACACTTTAGACTACCTACCCATGAAAGAAACCCAATATATTTTTCTTTTTTTTAAGTAATAAGATGGTTTTCCAAAGATCCTCAGGAAAACCTATTTCGAAAGAAAATTTTCAAAATGACGTTCGTGATGAGAAGATGCGCTCAGGTTTTGGCTTCCAATTGGTGAAGACCGCAAGCATCTACCACTTTTCTGTCTAACGTTATTCAAGATACATTCGAGTCCATTCTTTTTTTTTCTGACAAAAGCTGTGAACAAACTTTCTTTTCCTATTTTCAGTGAAACTTTAATTCGTCAACAAGCTCAATTGTTAGTTTCTGGAGGATATTTATCAGCTGGTTATGAATACATAATTATTGATGATTGCTGGTTGAATATGACGAGAGCACCAGATGGTACATTACAGCCCGATAATAAACGCTTTCCAAGCGGCATTCCAGCCTTAGCTGACTATGTTCATTCGCTTGGGTTAAAATTTGGTATCTACGAAGATTACGGTACAGAAACATGCGCTGGATACCCGGGAATATTGGGTCATCTAGAACAAGATGCTAATAGTATGATAAATCTCAATGGTAAATAGTTTCAGACTTTATAAGATCATTTTCTTTTAGCATTTGCCCAATGGGGGGTTGATTATTTGAAATTAGACGGTTGTAATGTTGATGTGGCACAAATGGACACAGGTTATCCAGAGATGGGCGCACTTTTAAATAAAACTAATCGACAAATAGGCTATTCATGTAGTTGGCCTGCGTATCAAGAATTTTCAAAAATAACTCCAAATTATACGGCTATTGCCGATTCATGCAATCTTTGGCGAAACTGGGCTGATATCGACGATTCATGGGAAAGTGTATACGCAATTATCCAATGGTTTGCCGACAATCAAGATCGTCTAGCTCCACATCATGGACCTGGCCATTGGAATGACGCTGATATGGTGAGTAGAGTTGAACGTGTTTCGATCTGAATAGAATCGTTTTTTCTTTTCGTTCTAGCTTGTAATTGGGAATTTCGGTTTGAGTCCTGCACAATCTCGTGCCCAAATGGCGTTGTGGTCAATTCTTAGTGTACCACTCATTTTGTCGGTTGATCTTCATACAATAAGCGACTGGGCTAAAGATATAATATTAAACAAGAATTTAATTGCAATCAATCAAGATCCATTAGGGGCAATGGGCAAAAGAATTCTCAAAGTACGTATCCTTATTACAAAACAAGCTGTTTTATTTCTGTAGAATATTTTTATTTTATTATAGTTATCAAATAGTATTCAAGTTTGGAGTAAGCCATTACTAAATGATCGTACAGCGGTAAGACAGTAAAACCCTTCCAAAACATGTCAAACTTCTTTGATGTTAACTTGTTTTTTTATAGTTTGTTGTACTTTCTCCCGAGCCGTATGGAACGCCAATTCACGTCAGTGTCTCGTTAGAAAATCTTGGTCTTACTCGTTATCAAGATTATGATTTTTTTGAATCATTTGATTCAAAATATATCGGAAAGTATCATTATAACCAAGTGTTTAATTTCACAGTAAATCCATCGGGCGATGTTTTTGCATTTTATACGTCACCCCCACACTAAGCAATATAGAAAATATATTTTTATCTTGTTTGAGAAAGCATGCATAAATTGTTATGTGCTAGTTTTACGCACACTAATCTTTGTTTTTAACTACTGTTAGTTACTCATTAAACTGTGATTATTTTGCTTTTACTATGAAATTTTCTTCCTTCTGTGGTGACGTTGTCTTTCATTAACATTAGTAGATGTGTTGCTTTTCATCATTAATTATTCTTTTTTTATTGTACAATAAACAATAAAATGAGGAAAACAAAGCATATAGGAATACAAATAAAGTGAGTAAGATTGAAGAGAAGATTTTGTGGATTAATACAAGTACGACAGCAGGAGAATTTATTTCTATTCCTAACAAAGATAACAACATATAGATATAAAAAC